GACTGTGAAGGGACAAATCCTAGTATTTCTTGTAGGCAGGGACCCATGAGGTATGTTACACTAAGGCAATGGTAAGGATGAGCAGAATGCATTTTTGGTACCTGGCAGCCTGTGTTGTGGACTGTGATCAAACACAGAAGTATTTGTAGGTGAAGTACCAGTACTCATAGTGAAGGATGATGAATTGCAGTTGTCTGCCCAGTGGCTGGTAGCAGCTGGTCACTGAGGCTGAATTGAACACACAATTGTAAAGAGTTTGTTTCGTGATCTCTCTTCATATAGTGTTCAGATATTACACTGCTGGGGCAGTGATATACGAGCCTAGTGAAAATGCGAGCTGTCTAATCCCAAGAGATGCTTCCTTGAGAAAGGAATTTAGGAATATACACCTCTTATTTCAGAATACCAATTCTTCTCCTTAGCCTTCCTGGTTTTAACTCAGAAAGGAGCACCAGTAGTTAATCTTATGTAGCCTGTATAATAGTAAGGAAGTCTACGCAGAGTTCATAAGGGTAAAGAGTGCTTAAGTCTAATGTGAGAGGTTTCCTATTTCTTGAAATTACCAAGGCTTGAGAGAAGTGCTGGCACTGAGAAGCTCATTTGATTTGCTGCTTTTATCTTGCTCTATAAGAGAAAGACCATCACGGGAGTAGTTCTTAAGATGTGACACTATACTGCAAATCTGAACACTTAAGTTTGCTGTGTGGGCTTGCTTTTAAGTCTGATGTTTCATGTTATGACAGGCACAGTGACTTTACAAAAAACACCAGTGATAAATTTCAGGTTGGTTGAGCCCACTGTCTGAGCCTTACATCTTAATTTGGGAATAGTACAGCATTATTAAATTGCACAAATACTTGGCTACTCAAGAGATACATGTGTATGTAACAACAGAGAATATTATCTAAAATCTCATATGGTGTAAAGTGAGTGGCTATGTTAGACTAATCTTAATAAAATATACCTCTACTTTGAGCCTTTCTGTAGTATTTTCCTTTCTAATTTTTTCTTTGTATTATACATACCGCCTTTCATTTCTTAGTCATTTTTATAGTTTTATAAGACGATAGAGTCACTTTTTGACCAGTACATGTTTTTCAGCTCACATAAATCAACACAGCTGCACCGAAGTGAACAGGGTCATGTTGATTTATGCCAGCTGAGAGTCTGGCATAGTATTTCCAGTAATGGTCTGGTAATGCAAGATAAGCATAATTTGCTTGCTTTGGGAAAAAATACCTGTATTAGCAGTATACCTTGCTAAAGCTGATTTCTTCAGTTACCTGGATAAAATTGATGAAAGTGTAACTCAAGTGTTTCCTGATTTATGCAATGCCAAAGGAGAATGGGATCTTCCATTTCTGAAGCTTATTTATTGTCTAAATGTGACACGAGCTGAAAAGCAAAATGGTCTCTACAGTGGTAATAAGCTAGAAGGTGACCTCTGTTTCCAAAAACAATCAAACAAAAAAAAACCTAAAAAACTTTCCTAGGATGTTGCATTTTTGTTTTGTTTTGTTTTGTTGCAAGACAAGGTTATGGGATATGAAATGGGGGAGGTAGTGACCACCAAGTTGCTGGAGGTGGTTGAACATGGCTCCCAGTATAACCAGTATGGAAATGTCTGCCCTATAGCAATATTGGCAAGGTATTTCTGTTCAGTGAGTTCCACGGTTTTGACAGTGGAAGAATGAGGCAATTAGCAAATCTAGTTTTCAGGAAAGCTGGGGCTCGATCCAAGCCTTTTTTACACCACTGGAAAGATTCCTGGTTTTTTGTTGGGTGCTGGATCTCACTAATACCTTCTTTTCTGAGTGAGAAAGCAGACTAAATGTTGACAGTGTCATTTGTTTCTTCCCATATTTTTTTTTCTCCTCAGTTCTGTGTTAAGAAGTTTTCTCAAGTTTACAAGATGTGCCTTTGGATGTCTGAGATAACTTTCTGATTTGGTTAACCACTTCATTGCTTGCCTCATCTGATCTTTATCTGCCAAGATGTACAAACATGTACAGCATGTTTCCTGACACAATGAAACAGAAGTTTTGTTTGTTTTTTGTTGGTGGGGTTTTTTTCCCTAAGTAATAAATACTTTGACTCCACACATGACATCATAGTGTAGATCATTCAGTAGGGAATTTTTGTTTGTCTGATACCAACCCTGGTAAAGCAGTTGTCATCAGACCAATGCTGTATAGCCAGAGGGAAAGGATACAACTGCTCATTTCTGTGATCTCTTTCAGCCGGGGAGGAAATGGCTAGGTGTTAGATTGCAGGCTGAATGTTGTCAAAGTACATGTAGTAAGATTAAAATGAAAAGAAATCATGATTTAAAGAGAATGGGGAGTGTTCTTTGCTTTTATTGTGGATCACAAGTTTGCCGGGGGACGGGGACAAGAGGTTCCCCTACTCACTGTAAATATGTTGGGTATCTTTTGAATTTATGTTTTTTGTTGTTACCTTTTTTTTTTTTAACAAGCTTTCAGTCTCCCTTTTGCCTCTATTTCATAGAGAAGGCAGAAGCAGATGGTGACATCTGCTACTGACTTTCACAAGAAATCCCTACAATCCCTACTGTAACAGCTGCTCTTCTGTATCTCCTATAAAGAGATGTAACCAACATCTGCCAGATTTCC